ATTTTAGCACTTCGACTATACGTAAATAGAGGCAGTTGTCGAAGGTGCTAATTTTCGCCGACTTCACTTTCAACTTCAACGACTAAAAAATCCACAAAATTCCCTCAACCGAAGCCGTTTTGATATTCTAAAACTACGTGAAGTTTCCTATCAGATGATATCAAGCTTGCTAGCAAAACATTTCATCTTTGGAACGAAATTTCCGGTTGAAAAAAAACGAAAGTACTTATGTGCCAACCCAATATATAACCTCACTATTCATTATTTGTAATCGCGAAATGTGCCTTCATGTTAGCTAGGCAGATACATGCAAACGTAACCATTCTTCTCAGATTTGCATTATTGTGAGGATTTTCAGGGCTCGTGACAGCAGTGTACAAAACAGAACCCGAACACCGCAAGGAAGACGAAAGAAGCATAGTGTCAACGACGGTCGAAGAATGAGTGATGGTCAAACGAATGGCGTTCATGTTACAGAGGCGGATGATTATGACAAGGTCAAAGCGTCTAAGATTTCCAAAAAGAAAGTAAAGCCCGCAAAATGGGAGGTAAGCTCTCGAGAGAGTTTCGTTCTGCACATGGCACAAGTGCAGGATCAAGCGCTCTGAGGTATGACCACAAACGCCTATCCGTCACTTGTGAGATTAACGGCGCTTCGGGATGGGACCTGACGCCGTGCGCTTGATCGTGTACTTTAGTAAGTGGATGTAAGCGACACGTTGTGAGAGGTGTGTGTGAAGGATGGAAGAAAGGCGGAAAAGAACCGTTTCTAGGGTTATCCGGAAAGTCCGTGACGGTTTTTAATTGAAACAGAAACGAAGATTCCAAAGACAAAAAGGAAGACTCTAGAATTTTCTCGATGGAATTGCCCGATTTCTTCATTTTCACTGTTTTCAGCTTTGGACCCATTTAATTCACGCTCACTTGTCTAATCTTAACTTTGTACTTCTTTAATTCTTCCCACCTTTATGATATTTCTTGGGAAAAGAGAGGCAACATGAGGTGAATATTGAATAGACCTTTTTTATATCGTTGAAAGTATCAAGCCTTTCGGCTAGTAGCAGTCCTAGGCGTAAGCGCTAGGTGCTAGTCGGAGACAATTTTGTTGCCAGTTCGGAAATTATGTTATCGTAGCTCAGTTCAACATAGTCAACAAGGAATTGCGCCTTTTGAAATATGCAGGTTAGGGGTAGGGGAAGGGCGGGGATGGCGACAAAGGTCGCTTTTACTTTTCCTAAGCTCCTTTGTTTCAATCCACTTCAAGATCGTAATGGCCTTATCCAGACCAGGGCATCCCATCGCGTTGTGACCAAGTCCTGAAAAATACGACCTCATAATTCCATCCTCAAATACGACCCCCCTCCCCATGCTACCTACCACTTTCCTAGATTTTCCCAACTTCCTACCACTTTTTCCATTTTTTCCCGAAAATTTCTGGTTTTTCCCCAAAATTTTGCTGTCGAGCGGGGGGGAGGGGAGGAAAGGTCGTCAGGATTTAACTATCATTTTCAACTATCGGAAATAGTAGTTGTATAGATCTTTGGCAGTCCCTCTCCCAACAACGACCAAATACGACCCCTCCCCTTATAGCGTCCGTGAAACAAGAGAATTGAGTATCGAAGAAATTTTTCCTAGACTAAAGACGACCCCCCTCCCTCGCGTCAAATACGATCCCCGTTGTGATCATCACAACGATGGCGTGCCCTGGTCCAGACGCCGATTTTCCTCGAGGCTGATCTCAAAGTAACGAAGAAAAACGTCTCAGGAAACCTTGACTGTGCGGATGAGGTCAAGGCATTTATACAGAATGGAGTATAGGTGAGCAGATCCGCGTTGCGGTGAGGCGCAGAAACTGGCGGCATTTTCTAGCGAGTTAACTCGAATTGATAGTATTTAGCGTTGTCGCGTTGAGTAGATTAGGTCCTAAAGCTAAGCCGCGCTCTCCCATTCCCAACATCGTAGTCTCAAATGATCCGAGTTTTTTGGCAGTTGAGATTGTGTAAGTGCTCCCATCAGTTGTCCGCCCCCGGAATAATGTCGTCATGACTCATATAGTAGCTTCCGGATTCCTATTCACTAATGGCAGCCATAAAGGCGCTGCCATCGGCCGTCTGAAATAGTCCCACGCCCTTTTTTCGTCTGGCTTTTTTTCGATGTTCTCTTTCAATATTCATTCATGCTCAGCCAGTAAGAAGGCGAAGCCGTTGATGAAGGTATGTGCCTTCTTCTCGTCAAAAGAACTTGCGAAAAAGTGTAGGCGGCATCAACCAGACGACGAGCAATCCGTAAAAGGCTATAGCTGACGGGTTTTTTTTCCTCAAAGACTGTGTGGTCAGGGAAAAGCATGGTCAGCTCTTTGGTAGTTGTTGAAGTATGCAATAGGTTAGTGTACACATTCCAGGGAATTCGAAAGTTGCTTCTGCTCATCTTTGGCAACATTCCTTCCCTTCAGTCACGCTCCCCCCTCCCCCTCCCCCCCCTCTAATTAGATTGAACGCTAACATTTGAGAAGCACTTCGGTGGCAAGAAGGTCATTAAAATGTAATTCAACGATCCTCAATTAGTAGTATGCTTTCGCAAATTACGCCCTCTCAACCTCATATCTATAGAGCCATGTGACTTACAATTACGCTTTCTGAATGCCTATTTCACGGTGATAGATGTGAGTAATTGGATTGAACGCTAGATGGTAAATGTCACGTCAACGGAGAAAAAAGATAAAAGCCTTGGCCACAAGCGGCCATGGGCAATCATAAATCGGGAGCTCGAGGGGACAACCAATGCACTTTCAAGTCATGAAGGACTATATTCGGGATAGATCTGACATAGCTAGCTTGCTGGTCGTTACCTCAGCCCCTCCAGTCCGGCAATGTTCACGGCGAGTTTGTACGAATTTACTTCCCTTTATCTCATCAAAAAACTACGGGTCCTTTGTTGATCGAGTTTGGCACGAACAATACAATTAAGGCACCTCGTACACGGAGAATCGCAGCGGAGGATCGCATTTGGTCGCTGGCTGGAGGGGGTCGTATTTGGTCTCGCAAGATTTTTTTGAGAATGATTTCTCTTGTTTCACGGACGCTATTCACTTCGTTGGGAGAATCCTAAGGGAGGTCGTATTTTCCAAAATTTTGCCTTGCGGTAGGACGTGCCCTGAATGCAAGGAGAACTATGAAAAGAGGTCCGTAACAAATAACTCGTGGCAGTCAGTCTGCTTTGTTTCGAAATAGTAGACCGTTGCTGCATATCTTCGAGCCTTTGCAGAATTGGATGGCTTCATTAGGTTCGGCGTCTCCGTCCCTTCTAGATGTCATCTGACTACGATCCAGGACGAGAACGCTCGGCCAAAAGGCAAACCAAGCGATTATATATTGTGGATAGTGGCGTTCAGTTATAACTCCGTACTCCGTAGATGACTCTTCACGGAAGGAAAAAAAAGCAAGAAAAATTATGAAGAACACCCTAAGTAACAACCCGTGGCAGCCCTGCCGTACGAGTTCTCCGGCCGTGCTCGTTTTAACTCACCAAAGCGAAATCCTGCCGCTTCTGGCTAACTGATCGCTTCTTCAGGTCATCCAATGCTGATACCTTGTAACAACAAAAAAAAACGAAAACGTATAAGAAAACGAAAAACGAAAATGGAAAACGTGTAAAAACTGAACCCGTGTGAGAAAATAGCCCCTGAGTTTTGTGGAGTGGAGGACGGGACCACTAGGGAGGTGTAAGAACCGCAGTTTACGAGCTCTTTTGTTAATTACTTACCCATTGCAAAGCCGCGAACGTCGTTAAGCCGAGAGGCTGAGGACCAGACTACTTGTAAAAGGAACAACGCCTATGAATCGCTTCAACGTGGGGATCTTCAACTGGTAAATCAGTTTCAGGTAGATCTAATTCAGCTGGAATTGCCAGAAACGCTTCGAACCAGCACTGGGCCGATGTAACACTTTTTCATTCTCACCCTAAAAAGCACTGCCAGCTCGACATTCTGATTGCTGGTTGTGAGGAATGAACACTCCCTTTTGACGCTCACTGCCATTTCAGTCCATGGCCATAGTCGTCTTTCGTCTTGGATGGTGAAAGAGGCGATGCAGAAGCGCTTCCTAATCCGATGTGAGCCTCAAAAAGTGTTGCTGTTCATCTGGTCGAGTGTCTATGTAGAACACTCTGAGCTATCGAATGAGGCTACGGACGCGACGTTCAGTCTCTTCCTCGCAAAACTGCAAGTTGAGAGCCGTAACGAAAGCTTTTCGAGTAGCAAATAAATCACTGTCCCACCATCCCACCTTATGCCTCAGCTGCAATTCAGGCCGTTGACTCTCAAAGTTAGTGACGGCATTGAGAAGGCTCAAGAGTTGTTTTTCAAGTGGCAGTTTGACAAGCTGTGCTGCAGGAGCATTTGTCGACCTAATCTCTTGATGGCCAAAGTCCACTAGTGCTGGTGAAGCATACTCAAAGCGCCCCGATATTCTCAGAATATTCTAAAGTGGTAAACTTTACGCTTCGAGGGTTCAGCTAAATCTTTCTCTAACATTTCTTATTTCTCTCCGGCGCTGAACTTCGGAGTAAGTGTGAGAAAAGGCACCAAGAAAAAAGTCAAAAATTTGTTTCTGAGTCCTTACTTTAACGTTGAATTTCGATAGCTCACAATTGACATGGTACTTAAGTTTCGGAAAACAAAGGGCCAATGTTGGGGAAGGGGTCTCTCCCTGCTCGACGGCAGATTCCGGGAAAAGCCGAAAACTATGTTGTAATAAGCACCGTCATTTCGCAACAAGATACTGCACCTTTGCATACAAAAGGATAAAGTCGTCGCCGTTGCTTAACCCCTTTGTGGGATGCGGCACGCATTCTACTTCCATTCAGAATCGTAGTGGCTATACCTCTGAAGGCATACCAATGAAATGTCAACGAGAGACAAGAGAGTGCATGTTAAGGAACAACTCCGCTGACGCAAACTCCTCCCCCGCCTCCTCCAAGACTATCCTTGCCTCAAATAAATTAGCAGACTTGCAAGTCGCTCGCTTTTTACAAAAGCATATCGTTATCGAAGAATAACAAAGTGACAAGAAACTAGGTTCTCGTCGTTTTTGCTCTGCGTGTGAAATTCTCGTTTGGATTTGGAGATGCGCTGTACGTCCACCTTCGAAGATTCTGACCCTTGCCGTGTGCGAGGTTCTTGGTTCTGCGGAAATGTGTTACTTTGTCAGTCGAAAGTGCTCCGAAATGAGGATGGAGGGTGGTAGCCCGTGTCGTTCAGGACTCCACACATAGCCAGCAGGTGCTGCTTGTCGATCGGGCATGCGCCTAACCGCAGCAAAAAGCGCCACTATTTGCGTTTCCCTTAATCTGGTCTCTCTTAACACATGGTTCCGAGGCAGCTTGCTGCTCGTTGGCCGAGAGACCTTGGAATCGCCACACGCGCTGCACATCGTGGATGGCGCTGGGGTCCTGTTTGGTATCCAACTACAGGGGGGGGGGCAAAAAAAGTCACTTCGACCGAGTCACATATCAGCAAAGTTTTCGCTGCCCAGACAGAGGACGTGGATACGAGTACCAGGGCGGAAGATACCCAAGATGTTCCTCTATAAGCAGGAGCTGGCTCTCGCCCATCACCTTCATGTACACCAAAATATGAAGTCATCTCCAGTCGCAGCCTGACTGGAGAAGACCTTTGGAATTCATGTCACCTCCAAACAGCTGCGAAACTTCTAGTGTGGAGTCACCCATGGATAGCTACCTGGAGACCAGTACTCTCGATCTGGAAGACCTCCAACATCGAGCAGCTCCGACAACGTCGCCACGGTCTAGGACATCATCTTCACCGCAGTCGCCAAGGCGCGGGTTGATGGTATGGACCGGACGTACCTGGAATGGAAAGACCAATATTTTCTTCGTGGACCCCGGACTGAAGGTGAGCGCTGGCGGTTACATTGGGCAACTCGTGAAGAATATCCTCCTCACATGTCGTCGCCCGTACCTTCTTGGAAACTTTGTACTGCTACAGCATTGGGTGCCACCACGTGGAATCGAAGGGCGTTGGAGAAACTCTCGCCTACTTGGAATGGAAGGGGGCTGAGTACCTAAAGAAGATGGAATATCCAAGTAGGTCACCTGACCTGAATCCCCTCAATTACCCGGTTCGGGCGGAGTTCAATAGGGTGGTCTACGGTGGCGGAGAAATCGACTATCTCGCTGATCTCAGGCACCACATCGCGGTCGCGTGCCAGAATCTCTCGATGGCGCTCGTCCAGAAGGCTGTGGCGGAGTGTCATGATAGTATTTAATATGCTCTTTAATATGGTGGTAGAAATGTCCGATCAGAATTCAATAAAGTGTAACTTATAGCGCCTCGAAAGTCAATGAAGAAAAGTGACTTTTTTTGCCCCCTCCCCTTTGAGAGTCTTACTCGTTGAGACTGGCTCGAACCACAGGAGTTGCCCTTCCTACTTCAGCTCTAGCTCTTAGGGAAGGGTTGACACAAATACAACTTATACCGTGATTTCCAGCGGCGGGAGCTATTTATAGTTTATTGACTCGTATTCATTTTATGCCTTTTATGCCACGATGGGCTTTTTATAGAGCTTTTAGCCGTAGCTATCCGTCGATCCCAATGTGAAAAGCGGGGAAGGACTGGCTCCGGCTTAAAGGCAGTTGGCACGATAAATCCCCCAAGACGAGTAGGATTAATACGCCTGGCAGGACGGAATTCCGCGACCCTGAGCAGGCGCTGCGTAGCGCCTTTCCAAGGAAGGTACCCTTATAAGGGCCCTATCAAGCTACAACATACCGACCCGAACGCCCACCACGCCCGCCCGCCCACAAATGGACGACCGTTCTGACGCTCTAATTGATTCATTTGCTAAGCAAATTATGAAGCGAAGGGATTGGTATGAAGCGGCCGTGATGCTGCATGCATACATGGGTACACATATGCAGCCGTACCTTCGGTAGCGGTTATTGGCAAGATGCCTACGGAAACTCGTCCAAAATTGATTTTTAACACACTGAGAACGGAGGCTCTTTCTTCGCAGAGTTTTGACCGTTTCACTTCGTTTTTTCGCCATTTCTCCACTATATAGCGCCCTACTAGCATTTTAGGCCGAGCACCAAATCATCGTGCCCGCCTTTAAATTGCCACGGTACTCCTCTGTCAAAGAGGTTTTTCCTGGGGCATCCCTTCTATAGGGGCATCCTTCTATAACGGGAAATCACGTAACGAATTTCAAAATTGGACTTTCAGCGGCGTGACGTGTGGCTCTGTCCAAATGCAAAGACCTTGACGCTGCGAGGGATAGTTCTTGGGATAGCGATTGACGGCGCCACAGCGAAAGCTAGCCCTTATAGCCATGGCGTGCCTTGTTTTCAAAAGCATTTCTAGACTTGCATAATGTTATATATTAGGTTGATTCATGAGTCCTCGAATGTTTATCCCAACCACTGTTAGCTCTCCCGGGCAGTTCGCAAAGCCGTATGATAGAGAAAAGAACGGCTTAGCAAGACCACTACTGATCTTTCGCCTGAGCGTAGTGGTTTGTGCCTGATGCTACCTGAAGAACACCATCCCGGCAATATTAACGTAATTCCAGTTTTTTTTCTGTGCTTAAATCCTTTACTCGCAGGATGTCTACAAGGAGAGCGCTTACGCTCGCAGCACCGTCTACTCCTGGTTCGCCAAGGTAGGCGAGTATTATATCGAAGATGACGAAAGGACAGGGCGGCCAACGGCTGTCTACTTGGACGTACGACGGGGAGGGCAGGTGGAGGCCGTTGCCTACCAAAAGCTGTTCGCAGCAAAATCGTGCTAAGCTCAGCCGAAGGTGTCCCGTGGATTGAAGTCAACAGGAAAGGTTCGAAACTCAGGCCGATGGATATCACATGCCTTATCACAGAGGGATATGGATCGGAGGGCCGACATGACACCTTTTCTTCTCATCAAACGCACGCACTTGTAGCTGGACAAACTAATCTCCGGAAAAAGGGGTGCTATACTCCAACATCCGCCACCGTGCCTAATGGGTAGGCAAAGGAGGACAAGCAGAAGACGTCTCGAAACCTGACCTGCATGGAAAGTGTTGCTATGCATCGGGAGTGTTCGTGGGGTATAATACTGGGAGCTCAGAAGGTACAGCAGTGACTGCTTGCATCTACTCTGCTCACACTACAAAAATCTGAGGGCTCACCTCACGAACACATGGGAAGAGCAAGCCAAAGTGTACTTTCGGCATGACAACGCCAGACCACGCATTGCAAGGGCAACGAAATAGGAACTAGCGAGGTCCGGCTGGATTGTCCTTCCCCACCTACCATGCTCCACAGACTTGGCACCCTCTGACTATCGCCTATTCTCGAACCTGCAACGCCGTTTGGATGGTAAAAATTTTAAAACCCACGATGACATCGAGGAGCTACTAGATGGGTTCTTCAAGAACACGCTAGTCAGTTGCGGAAGCGCATCTTAATCGCCCAGTTGTTGGCAACCAGGTCACAAGATAATAAATGGAGGCATTTCAAAGTGATTAGCGTAGGTTGGTTTTTGTGCAGTAATAGAATTATTTAGGCTTTGAATGTCCGAGGACTTTTGAATCAACTTAGTACTCTGCAATTGCAGGTGTTGGATGGGCAATGTCCCTGATAAGCCTGTTAACAGGTGTATATTATAATGTTGTGGTAGCTGTGTGTCTTCGCTATATTTTCGATGTTATCACTCTTCAGTCATCAAAATGGACGTCGTGCGATAATTACTGGAATAGCGACAGTAGGTTCTGGACTACTACTGCTCACTTGAACCTTTCATAGAAGAACATTTACAGCAGAGCACATCGTTATTAGGGAATCTCCAACAGGGGATCGTATTTGGCCGCCAGGAGAGGGGTGGTGTTTGGGCTCGAGGGAAATTTATGTTGCGTAGTTGGTTTTTCTCGATTCACGGAGCTTCTCAAGGAGAGTGTTGTACTTGCCGGTTGTTGCGAGGGGAGGGTCGTATTTACTTTTTGGCCTTGGGCATTGATGGTGAGTGTGGTTGGACTTTTTGTGATTTTCCTGTGCTGTGGATTGAAGATTCTTTACCTGAATCACAACATGCCTGTTTCGGGTAGCCTGGAGAAATTGGGCGGAGAAGTACAGAATTCCTGCCTTCCTTATTGAAGTGCCCACTAGCTTTACTAAAGTCGCATCGTAGATGTATAGATGTATAGAAGACTACTGAATAAAGCACAGCGCAAACCGGCTCCGCCCACATCAGAAGCATGGACTTTGAAGAAACAAGGACCCTCTCGGGGAAGGATGCAGAACTATCGAAATGGGCTCCTCAAGAAATATTTCTAATATTTTCAACGTCCATCACATGGATGCAAAGTTACAAACACTTCAAACACTTCACCCTAGACTGGACTCGAACCAGCACCTTCCGCTCTCTGGGTGACTTTCGCGAGCCGCTACACCACCAGGTTTGCCTCTTTCCCTCTCATCGTGACGGCTTGAGGCGTTTCCTTGCACCATTTATGCGACCATATTGGCGTAGCGGTTAGCACAGTCATCCGCTTAGCGTGAAGTGCGAGTTCGAATCCCGTTTGGAATCCCTGAATTGTGCCCGTAATTCAGCATTCTTGTAGTAACTTTCAAAATACCAGTTGGGGAGAGAAGGTATCATGATAGAACAACTTTGAAAATCTATTTAGCCTGCCAAAGTGTCATGGACTCAGCATCCTTCACCGGAGATAACGCTACATTCGCAGCCCAGGAATTTTTCAGGTAAGATGTCACTTCTGTGCCTCACTGAGTCTCACAGCGTTCGCGGTAAGACGTCTGCAATTCGCCGACATGAAAGGAGGGAGGGAGGGGCACGCGACGTCGCGCGCCCCCGCTAATAACCCACGAATTTTAGGTGATATTGGTCGAAAATAGACTTTGTATGACGAAAACTTGACGTATGTGTCTACCATGCCCTTGCCTACTTGAAATACGGTGCATGCCACCAAGGGTAGTGCAAATTTAGCAAACACCGCGCTCATTGCAGCGAACGACGATGCCGGAACTTACGATCCCCTTCCCCGTCTTCCCTGCTCGTCTGGGGAGGGTGGACTGACAAGACATTCGTGAAAGGGCCAGGCTGGACATCTCGTCCGTAGGGCGGTGTCGTTGCGTTACGTCCGTTAGGCTCACCGTCGATGGTCCTGTCACATATCTGGAAGAGGGGGAGAGGGGTTTCGCGATTTCACTTGTTCACTTGGTGACTGCTTGGGTTACCGTGCCTGTCGTTGCTGGTTCATGCTGACTAACGCGTTAACACGTAAAGTCTTGCGAAAGCACTGCTAAACAACCTCGATAACAGGAATTCACAGGTCTTCACAAGGTGCGCTGTAGATGCTTTTTGAGTACAATTTGATGCCCCCACCAAGGCGAACTACTCCTCCAACTCGACTGCTTGCGCACCGCAGGCAAATGAGAATTGTGACTGATTCGTTCTTCATTCTCTATTTTGTTCTTCATTCTCTACTTTAGATTTCGCCTACTTAAAATATCGGCGTCCATATCTGAGGTTGGAACGTTCAACTGGGAGATATTTATCGCTTTGGTGACTGGCTTGGGTTATAACGTGCCTGTCGTTGATCAGAGGAGTTTCTGTTATCGGAAAGATCTCATTTCTAACTGCCACTTTGCCTTATGTCATAATAGGTAATAACTTTGAACTGATATTTTCCCCTATTGTTCATTTCTGAGGGGTGGTTTCTCAGTGATCATGTTGATTCGCGGTGTCACAATGGACGGAGCTAAAACAGGAATCGATTATTACTTGCTAAAACCTGACATGAATAAAGTGTTCCGACTGAAGGTACTGTATTTATGTTAATGAATACGGTTAATAACCTATCGGTGGCAATTTCAGACATGGTTGGAGGCAGCGAAGCAGTTGTGCTTTAGCCTCGGCATTGGTTTCGGTGGACTGCTTGCGCTGGCTTCGTTTAATAAAAAGGATCACAACTGTTTCCGGGTAGTCTTACAATGCCATTTATTCTTTATCACAGTTTAAATCAAGATTGCGCAGTAATTATCCCGGCTTCTCTCTGGGAACTTCCCTGGGAAATTTCTCAGAGCAAACCCCATTTTCCCCAGTTTCTCCACTCGAGCTCCTTCGAAAACCATTAGAGGGGGTGAAACACTTCTTCACTCGGCTTTTGAAGCGATATAACATACACTTTATTGGATTCTGACCACATCTACAAATTCAACAACACATTCTACCGATCGCGAAGCTCCGTCACAGCCTTCTGGAGGAGCGCCATCGAGAGATTCTGCCACGCGACCGTGATCCGATAACTGAGTCGGCAACGTCGATGACTCCGCCTGTAGACCACCCTGTTGACTGCTTCTGGATCCAGTTATCGAGTGGGATTAGTTTAGGTGACACGACTAAGATATTCCGTCTCCTTCAGGTACTCATTGCCGCTTGGTTCTGAATAGGCGAGATTTTGTCGATCCTATGCGCTGGCCTGACCAATCCTGTAGCGTTTACGAAGTTTCCAGGAGGAGACAGGCGCCGACATCATCGCAGGATATTCTCCTCGGTTTTCCATGAAATAGTCAGCGTTTGCTTCCAGCGCGGGGCTCACGAAGACAATATCGGTCTTCCCATTGAAGGAACTTCCGGTATGACCATCAATCCGAGCCTTGGCGACTGCAGAGAATTGATATCCTGGACCATAGCGACGTTGTCGGAGCTGCTCGATGTTGGAGGTCTTCCAGATCAGGAGTGCCGGTCTGCAGGTAGCTGCCCATGGGTGACTCGATGTTTCGCAACTGTTTGGGGATTACGTGGATCCTGTAGGCTTTCTTCAGCTCGGCTGTGAATGGCAGATGGCATCATTTGTGGTGTACATGAAAGTAATGGACGAAACCCTGCTCCCGCTTACCAGGAAACATCTTGGGTATCTTCCCACTCGGTGCTCGTATCCACATCTTCTCTCTGGACTGTGTACTCTTTGATGATATGTGCCTATTCGAAGTGTCCTTTTTTGCCTCCCCGTGTATTAAACTTGGCTTTCCTCATGACGATATTTATCTTGAGGATGCTATCGTTGTGACCATTTGCGACTGTCTTATGAGTATTATTGGTGGTGTAGCAGTCTTCTCGACTCTTGGAGCACTGTCAAAGTCGTCCGGGAAGCCGATTGATGTTCTCTTCAAATATGACGGTTGGTTCACTTTTTCAAATTATAAAAACGCGCACGATAAGACAACACTTCATTGAATAATTTATTGTCCATTATTAAAGGCAAACTATTCACTCGCATTTGTGGATCCTGATTCTGCAGTTTGTGGGGAGGGTAGACCGTAGTAGTTGTAGTGGCTAGTCTCTTTGTCCGCTCAAGGCGCACGGGAAGAGAACTGCAGCGTAATGGTACTCGAGTGCCGTCTCCATAGTTCACCCGCGACATGCTCTTTGTGCAACACATCGTCACCAACGTCCCGAACGGAAACCTGCATGTGGCGTGGAGAACAACCAGAAGTGAGAGGACGCAGACAGATAGCGCGTTTGGCAGTAGCTGGGCACCTAGTCGTCGGCAGTGGCTGTAGAGAGGACGAAGACAGAACCCTGAAATCACTGCCCTTCAGCCCCCCGCCCATTTCCGCGTACTTTTTGCCGGATAACGTGGCACGCTACTGCAGGTGTGGATCCGTTGACCCCAACACGGTAAGGAATCCAGTGAGCAGCTTGGAGCCAGCTTCAGAGCTTCAGAGTACTGGTCCAAAAGCACAAATGACAGGGTCTCGCTCCCTCAAAAACTTGAATATCGGTCAAAATTGTAATGATACCCTAAGGGGGGCTCTTGTAGGTACTGCCTGCAACTTCTCTCCTGGTTCTACCATACGGACTGGATGAACAACGTCAACTGGATATGGAGGAAGGTGTCGCTCGGTGAACCACCCACGGAAGCGCCAATGGCTAGATCCTCCAAGAAGGGCAGAACCGGTCGTGCAATCAATCCAGTAGGGCGGTGACATCGTGTGTGTTGGGGTTCACCGCAGGAAATTTCTTCCTCTTTTAACCCCTTTCCCGCTCGTGCTGAGCAGCGAGTCCTACTGTAATCAACTGCGAATGAGGATGAAAATCTCTGCATTATATACACTTACCTCGAGTGTTGCGCTTTCTCCACTGAAAACATGAATGATGAAAAGACATTCTGGGGCACTTCGGCGACGGGAGGTGGGGCACTTTGCTTCCCACTGCGGACGACTTATCAAGAAGGCTTTGACTTCACACGTTCAGCCATGGTGGCTAGACGAGCTTGTCCATATTCGTAATAGTTCACAAGTTCCATCAAAGTGAGACTTGTGAACCGGAAGTAGTGAAGCAGTGAAAGTGTAAAATGCCCCCTCCCTGTCGCTGAAATGCGCTAAAAATTCACACGAACGCACGTATTCAGCTCCTTCTATCATATTCGTTACCTATACACAGGCGAATTAGTGGCATGCCTGCTTCTGGAATCTTCGCCTTCTTATTATTTTTCATGTTTTTCTTATTAGGAATCAGCAGCCAGTTCGGTACGTTGGTTGTTTTCAAATTGTATCGGACCTAATTCAACTCAATTTTTGAGGGCTGACTCAGAATTTTATCACCACACTTACTGATCAATTTACCGGCTCTACAGAAATGGAAAGGACTTGTGGTCGGAGGGTTCTGTCTGTTTTCACTGCTGGATGAACTGATAATGTGTTGGCAGGTAGCGATGAATTGGCTCTTATTAAGGGCCAATCGAGGCACCCTTTGTAAGTCGGGGTGCTTTGGTGGCTATCTCGGGCACCCGACCCCTCGAGGGCGCATCCAGGGTACATCGTTGATGGGAATTTTCTAACGGGGGAGTCGTATTTGGCGCTGGGAGAGAGGGGGCCGTATTTGGTTGGAAAAATTTTTTTGAAGGTTTCTTTTTCTTGTTTCAGGAACGCTATAAGTGAGGGGGAGAAGGTGTCGCATTGGGCTTCCGGTTTCTGAGGAAGGCTGTTGGTTTTCCCTTTTGCCATGAGCAAATCCTCACCCAATGATGTCTCCTCGGTGCACTGCCGTTCATCAGCGTGGTGACCAGAGGTTGGAAACCCGAGATGGGCACCTGAAATACGGTTTCCCCAGCTAGTTAACATGACAAGATTATAAGCTCAGAAAGACAAACGGATTACGGTGCCTTAGATCTGCTCGTGAATAAAATACGTCAGCTCTTTGTATGCTCACAATTGAACGCGCGCTGCTCTTACTCGCTCAATTTTGCGCGCAGTTCTGGGTTCTGCAAATTGCCTGTTTTCCTGAACTTGTAACTCATCGGCGACCCTTTGGTAAAGTTAATCCAATTTTTCGCCTCGAATATCCGTCCGTGAGTTTTTCACAGTTCTCAACTGGCGACCCTCTCTGACCTTAATCCACTTTTCTGCCGTCTCTGGAGCCGTGCGAGAATTTTTCGAAGTGAGTATACCCAACTTGAGGGCTTATCCCGCCCACCGTGGGCGGGTCTCAACACACCGCACGCATCCCACTCTCCCAGATGTTTCCCTTTTACATCGACTTTTTCTGCTATCTCTAAACTATCTCGGGAAGCGCGCCACAAATTTTTGTGGGAAGCAAGCCCCACAGCGAGCACGCTCCGCCCATTCATTGTTTCTCCCATAATTAGTCTGTCAGCCCCTTGCTAGCCTTTACCCTCACCTCTGTGCTGCCCTAGAAGCGAGTTATGAATTTTTGCCTACGGCACCGCCAACTTTAGGCGGAAGCTCCGCCTATCGTGGGCGCTGCTTGCATCCTATTCCAAGCGAAAACGATTATCTATTCAGTCCGGCTTCTACTGGTTTCATCTCTTCTTCAACTCGATCGGTGGAACTGCGGTGCTCAGCCTTTGCTTTCGTGGAAGTTTTCTTCATTGTATTCGTCTATGGTAACTCAATATCAAATCTACGGTATCTTGTATAATTCGATATTTGTCCCGGTATATTTACTCAGGCATACGAAAGCTGCGACGTGACATACGAAAGAATATTGGAATCCCTAATGGGTACAAAGGTCGAATCTTTGGCGCTTCAGGAATATTTCATATCAACCTGCTGGACCGTTTTCGCGCCACTCATACTTCTGGTATGACGCTTTTCTGGGCTCTGTTTGCCTCGGAGAGGACCTTTCTACAGAGCGGGTGAGCCACGTTATGTCTGTGTCTACGCTCTCTCAAACAAGAAAGGCTTTACCGTGGTCATTCTACGCCAAAATGTGACCTGGCTTATTTATTTTGCATTGTTTCATTTCACCACGGCTACATGAAGTGACTAAGCCGCGCCGGGTTGGCCTTCTCGAGACCCATAGCTCATTGTTGGAATTTTTACTGTTTTTTAAGGGCATTTCTTCCAGACAATCGTTGCGTTTGGGATTGTCGCCGATCTCAGAGGCTTAAGCGATGAAGACAGTAATCCACTTCTTATCGTATTCCTCCACTATTTTTGATCCCTTGTTTCGTCTTGATCAACATGCGGTATTCCGTAAGGAAGGGAGAGGTAAAACTTCATTATGGATCACACTTATAGGGTGAATAGGTCATTTCTCTCGTTCAGAGTTGGAGGGAAGCTTTCCAAATCAAACGGCTGGCTTCCTTTGAATCACCAGAAGAGATCACGGTGAATCTTTTCGATAATCGCTTCCATCGATTACTTTCTCGTTTGTTCGTGATGGGAACTTAAAGGCACGGTCCGCGATAGGTGTAGAGCTTGATAATCAGGGCACATCACTGGCTGGGGAATTTGGTCGAGCCCGTACGATCCCCCCCCCTTTTTTTTACTGTTTGACGTTACATACTTCCTAAACTTGAGAAACGGGCACTATTGAACTATGGAGATTTAGACGAACCTACGCGAGCTCATCACCAAGACTTCGACAAATGTGATACGAAAAGAATCAGAAATTCAGCATTCTCTCATCTTGAATAGAATAAAATGTAATAAAAAGAAACATCGTCAAGAATACTTGAATAGTACACACTAAGAACACACCACGCTGACGTTTTTGCCAGTAAAACGGTATTCTCATCAATCATTCACAATAACAAGAGGAGGTTTGAGGTTCAAAATTCGAAACTAACTAAGGAAAAACCGGACGTTGGAAGTGGGATAAAAATGTATAGATATTATCAGGCCTACCGAACTTATTTATTTATGTGTAAACGTGTGCAATTAAAAAGAGGAAGAGTAGCATACACACCGCACAAATGTGAGTTAAATGAGAATGTGAGTTAAAGAGAAAAAAAACAAAATGTAGCATAATAGAAAAAAATGAAAAGAAATGGCGCAACAACAGCCGCAATCAGCTGGAAAACGGCCGAGGAATCGATTGGAAGGGATTCTGGGCAGGACCAGCCGTGCAAGGTGGTTGCAAGGTGGTTGGATTGGAGCGCGAGTTTTCAGGAAAGTAGGGTGTTTTTGAAGGGCCATAACTTCCTCAAAAGCGGACGTGTGGGAAGAGGAGAACGCAGTCGTGTAGAAAATTCATAGAGAAATTCGCGCTGGGGTTTATTAGGGAGTGCACTTTTTGGATAGTTTGCAGTGCGAATTGTACAGGTTTGAACCAAGATATTTCCCTTGAACCTCAATAGTTTGGAAATCTGAAACCAGTATCGAATTCTAGAAGATTTCCTCTTTCCAAAAACTACTTAAACTGTTTCTGAAGTTTCCGGGATTCATGAGATAATTGCGTTGGGGATTTGTTGGGGAACACTCCGAACTGTTCGAAAGTCCGTTTTCTGTGTACCGTTTCAAGCAGGCGTACTCGGATATCCAGGAATGCATCTGGAATGCATCCCTTCGTGGAATAGGAGCAAGCAGTAGGTGTTTTAGCGCCCATTAGCTTCATTTGTGGATGCGCCATGCTTAGGCTCCCACGCAGAGTCCATGGTCAACCTAAGCACTTGTTTACAGTGTTGTCCGTTGCGGATGATGGGACGTGTCCGTGTCCGACGCCGCCAGATCTGTGCTCCGCCAATTGCTGACTCTGATAAAGGAGAAATCGTAATTTTTTCCAAAAAGTGAGCAAGAAGGAGGAAAAAAAAGGGGGGGGCGATACTTTTTGGAAGACCTTAGACGACTTAATGATTTCAAGTTCGGCCTCATAGACAAGCATCACCACTGGATGCCCTGTTGATTTCGATTGGGAGCCTACTGAACCAGCTAACCCAGGGAGTTTCATAAGTGGGCTGTGTAGAACCAAAACCCCCAATACCTCCCCCCCCTCCCGGATGCGGTTCATCCTCTCTGCTCTATACATTTGCGAGTGTTAGGGGGAAGGGGAAGATTGCTAACCATGTTTTATCCATCTTTTGCCAAAATTAAGTTACCTGCAGTGCATTACTTTGAAAGTCGTCGAGGGCTCGTTTTGCCCAAATCAGCCGGCCACTTTTTGGTAGACGTGGCTGAATTGGCGCTGAGTGCGGCATTGTCATTCATAACCCCCACTTGGACGTATAGCTACAAGCTGAGACCCTTTGGGTCACGATCACCAAGAAGTCGGCAGTTCGGCGACGGGGAGTGGGCGCATTTTGTACTTTCGTTGCTCCACTAGTTCTGGTTTACAAGTTTCACCTTGCTGAAACCTGCCAACTCTTTGAAGCTGGAGCAAGCTCGTCGAGCCACCATGGTAAAACCTGCCAACTCTTGTAAGCTTATTAAATAGCTCAACGTGCAAAATGTCCCCCCCCCCTGCATAGTCGAACTACGCCAAAAAGTCTTATGGTCAGTGGTAATACTAAGTGTCGTGGAATGTGAATGTTCGCACATTCACATTGAACTCACATCTTCACTTGATGGGAATGTTTGAAAAAGTTGATGCATGGGTTCCGCAAGCGCCCGTTCTCCAGGATGACCTTGCGATGCACATTTATCAGGTATCCCAACCTCTAAATCGCTTGAGCCAAAGAGGTCCTGAGTGAAATTGTTTCTTAACTAGGCCTTCTGTAAGCCTGAGCTGCTTATGCCATCTTAGAGTCTAGATTAAGTGCAGAAATGTGTGTCAAAACGTTCATTATGTCGACTTTTGGCTCCGCCTTGATGAACCAAAAATAGACAAAAGTCAGGAAAGTATAAAAAAAACTAGGCACGCTGTCTTCCTTGTAGAGCAGAAAAAACCGACTGAACGGCTTAGAACACCTCCAAGAAACTTCCAACTTTTCACACACAATTTAGCAGGAGAAAAAAACGCCTATATAGCTCACGCCGCGGACCCACACTGCAAGAACTTTCAAAAAAGGGTAATTTATTCCTGTACTCCTTGTTCGGAGATGGACTATAAACTCCAGAACGACCAGTGTTTTGTGGATCGGGAGGAACCACTCAAAAAGCGATGCTAAGCCACTCATATCTACAGTCCTCATCATTACGTACTGTCGGGGCGGCACAGCCGCGCTGCACTGTGACGCGACAGCGGCTCGGTGACGGTGAATCAGCTGATTTCGATGGAATTCGGCTGCAAATTCCCACTTTTTCAGCTCTTCAAGCTTCTAAAGTGGACAGGTGATTCGGACCAGTTTGAATGCACTGAGTCTGAATGAATTTGAAAGAATGTAAGCCATATGAATAAATACCTGGAATAAGGCAAAATACAAGGAAAAGAGCATAATAATCGACATAAAAATAAAGGAAATCAGAGCCAGTACAATTCAAAATTGGTCAGAATAACTCACCTTCCACTTTAGAAGCTTGAAGAGCTGAAAAAGTGGGAATTTGCAGCCGAATTCCATGGAAATCAGCTGATTCACCGTCACCGAGCCCCAGCCGCTGTCGCGTCACAGTGCGGCGCGGCTTTGCCGCCCCAACAGTCCGTAATGATGAGGACTGCACTCATCTGATCACTCTCAGGCTGCGTTCACACCTTGCGGCAGCATCCACCAGCGATCATTAGCGTTTGCTCGAAACGCTCCTTAGCGACTAGGAAAGTATAAATTTTGGTTTAGCAACCGGCAGCGTCTACTGGCCTTCACCACTTCCACCGGTGACCATTATCGTCCCGAGGAACTAGAAAGTATGGATATCCACTGCGCTTTTACCAGCGTCCACAAACGACCAAGAGTGAGGGGTGGGGACAGCTGGAATAGGCGTCGTGGAATTGTGGAAACTGCAACCGCATCGCACTAGTACGCACTCTTGGTCGCTATTGGTCACTGGTGGACGGTGGTAGACACTAGATCGATATCAATACTTTGTTGGCCCCTCGAGATGCCGATGGTCGCTGGCGGACGCTGTTAGACGCTGCCGTCCGTGAGATCGATATCTATGTATACTTTTCTAGTCGCTGACTGGAGCACTCCGTGCGCTGATGGTCCCTTGGATGGCAACCCCGAACTGGTCGCATAAAAGACGACTGCCACGCCGAGGCGATATGACTTACCGCGAAGTTCATCCGCGTGTCATGAGCGTATGCTCTGATTTCGCTGGCTGTGGGCATTGTATTACGGCTGTAGTCCGGAAAGTTCTTCGGCGTGTTGTGCACCATAAATGCTTTACGTACACATTCATGCTGTTTAAAACTCATTCTGCTGCCATTGGCTTCCAGATAGTCAGCGATACCCTGTAGAGAATTTCTTTGCGCTATCTGATGGTATAATTGCCGTTTCACCATTGCTTGAATAAAACCCTCTTTTTCAAGATTTTTTCAAGCATGTGAAAAGAGCACTTCGGACGATTTTTTTCTTCGACTATAAATTGGGGCAATCCGCAATCGAAACAGCTCAACAAATTAACCAGGTGTGGAGGCCCAATAGTGCTAGAGAAAGCACTGTGCCGCAATGGCTCAACAAATGTCGTTCTGGAAATTTCAGCCTTGAAGGTGAACCTCATAGCGATCGACCTAAAGCAATTCTGACGAGGATTTTGAGGGGATTTCGGAGGCTGATCTATCCCAAACAGTTCGAGAGATAGCAGAAGAGCTAGGCGTTGGCAAATCCACTGTTGCAGATGGTCTGGAACGCATTGGGAAGGTGAAAAAACTCGACAATTGGGTGCCCCACAATCGGAGTGACCGGCAGAATCGGCACGTCTCGAGGTTCCTTCTTCACTGCTTTTGCGCAAAAGAATTGACCCGTTTTTGAACCGATTTGTCACCTGTGATGAAAAATGGATCATGTATGATAACAGGAGATGTTCCGGACAGTGGTTGGATTTGGAGGAACCACGAGAATATTTTCAAAGCCGAACCCTCGCGAAAAAAAAATTCTGGTCAGGTTTGGTGGTCATCGGCTGTTGTAATCCACTATAACTTTTCATCACCAGGCCAAACCATCACAGCAGAACCCTACTGTGAACAAACCGACCAAATGTACCGAAATATTGTCAGCTGCAGCCAACACTTATCAAAAGAAAGGGTCCGATTCTTTTGCATGACAACGCCCGCCCACACGTTTCACAAATCACTATCCATAAATTGAACGAATTGGGAGTTGAAGTTCTACCTCACCCACCATATTC